TATATATATATATATTAGTAAATTTTAATAGAAACTAATGTAATGTGTGGTTGAAAAATTATGGTTTCATGAAATGTATGGTTAAAATTAATTGTTCTTTTTGACTTGAATTAAAATCATGATTTTAATTTTCACCAAACATGGGCTTAATTTTAACTTTAATAAATGAAAAGAAGATATAACTTTATTTGAATTTATTACAAAGCTTTAAATGACTAGAATTTTCATTTGTTTTAATTCAGTGAATTGAATGCCGGATTATTTTAATTTAGTTATCAAGTATTTCGAATTTCACAACTCAAGGCAATAAAAACTGAATATTTAATTATTTTACGCTATAAAATTTACTTATCAAATGCATTAATAGTAATTTTATCAAGCGCCCAGTGGATCATTTAAGTTGATCTCCAACCGAACTATTAAAAATTTAATTTTAGAGAAATCAAATATTCTTCTTATGAAAACTCCACGAATTTCGATTATTTATTTTTTTTTTTTGATAGTATTTAAAATTGTTCAAAGAGTGCCAAATATTATTTAGGGTAGTGTTATATGTGCACTTTTTCGTGTATATAATCGTTGACATCTTCCTCAAATGTGGGGTGTCCGCACATAATTTATTTTGCGGGACCTTGTTATGTGTACATCAAATTTTATATAATGGTTACATAATGTCACGTTTCACTTTATTATTTATTAGTTTAAAACACAATCAAATTTTTATTTAATCTTTTTTTTTCACATCATTTTATGTCATTCCTTATGTATTATCTTTATATACAAGTAGTACAATCCTATTGTGTGGGGCTCCCCTCCACATGAGGGGGAGTCATCTATTATTTACACCGAAAGTATAAAAATAGATAGACTAATCCTATTAGTTAATGTGTATGCTTTATAGATGGAAAATTTAAGGATGGAACTGTAGTAAGCATGTAGGGTGACCTAGTTTTTGGCTTTAATTTCCAATTTTCATTGCGTTTTAACCAATGTTGTTAAAATTCAATCAAAACGAATCAGACTTTACGATTCACATGGAGAAGTCAAGAAAAAAATATCTTGAACATACATAAGTGACCGTATACAAAATAAATGCAATAATCTCTAACTAAATATGCTTATAATTAGTTCGAATAGTCCACTCATTAGACTAGCCAATTTTATGTTCGGCCGTTTGATTTCAATCCTCGATTACTCGAGTATTAGGAAAAACAATATCCAACTATGTACTCTCAATAATTATGTAATTAGTTCGAGTGGTACACACACTAACGAAATTTTATGTCGGATCATTAATTTTAATCATCGATGACGTCTTTAATAAATGAAAAGAGAGAAAACTTTATGAACATTACTTTTTGTACAGCACTATTTACATAATTTTACATATTGATAAAGTGTTAAAAATAAAGTGGGAACGCTTTTTTTTTCTTTTTTTAATTTGGGTATTTTGATTCAATCAAATCTTACCATATCATCTCTTAGTAAATAAATCTATAAAAAAAATAATGTACATATAGTTCAACTGAAGCTTTATTTCTATTTTTCACAAAATTTCAATGACTAGAATACTTGTTCGTTTTAATTCATATGAGATTTTGCTAGGTTTTTGATACCCAATAATCCTGGGCAATGATGTAATATCGATTTTATTTAATTTCAGTCGGCCTTGACCATAGGACTAAACTATATGTTGACACCACCATCGAGACGATCCAACCCAATTTTTTACTAACCATTAGAAGCAACCTATATTAATAGTGTTGCTCGTGGCTTTTTCCATTTACTTGGATAGCTACGATATCAATTTGGAGCTCATTATCTTTGTGTTGGGCCTTTTGGGCCACTAACGTTAACCTACCATAACTTATCTTATTTGGTCACTCTCTTGGGCTACAATTCTCGGTCCCTTTGTGTCTCCAATAAGTCGTCTTCTCTGCCTCTCTCTGTGATTCGATCTCTGCTCATTCTCGACTTCTAACTCTCTTGCAACTTGTGTGGTTTCTCTTGGGTCATATTGTTCTCACTTTTGCCGCCCCTTTGTGGATATAATTAGCAACCGTATGTGTGAAGAAGAAAAGAGAAAGTTGGGTGTGTCTCAATAGTGGTGGTGTCGATTTGGTTGGAAACTGAGTCCAGTATGACCTTGGTATTGTTGGATGTTGGCTTCACATCTGGTATCAGAGCGTGGGCTATCATTATCTAGCAAAAATTATATCAAAATTTGAAGAAACCAACGTTTCCTTTAATATGATTGGATCTGAAATCTTAAATAACTCCCAAACCGGATCTCCATTGAACGAACAAAGGCTAGACCCACGACCAGTAGGTCGAGGCGCCCCCGGTGGTAGTGGCGCGTGGTGGTTCAACGCAGCGCATGGAGGAGCTCCTGCGTTGTTTTTTCATGACATTCCATTCATTTTAATATCCTGAACGTACTAATGTGTTTGGTTCAATGTTTCAGGTTGCGCAAGAAAGTTTGGACGATTTTGCCTTTGACCACAATTTGCATTTGTTGTTGAACAAAACTGTTATATTTGTTGAATCTTTAGGGCAAATAGTGGTGGTCCTAAAGCAGCAAATCTGCATATCTCCATGTTACAGATTCAGATAGGTCCGCTCTGGTAAATTGGCTGAAACCTTTAAATTTTCACACCAGCAGATCATCGTGTGGAGTGATCATTAGGATTGTGGGTTGTCATTGCTTGGCAACCATTGCTTATGCTAGAAATTAGGGCTACTTGCTTTTAATTTATTGATTGAGTATTTGTCTTTCCTTTTGGTTAAATCAATATCTAGCTCTTAGTGTTATAATTGCTGTGAAATTCGTTATTTGTTAGACGTACCTTTTGTTGCATTGATTCTTCCGCTGCGTGTTAATTCAGTTAGAATTACCGTGAACTTACCCGTTCAAACATTCCCTTGATCTAAGACCGTGAATCCTACGAAACCCTGGGAATCTAGAACATTATATACTGTTTATGACCTTAGGACTACTTTGTGTAGTTTAATTGTGTTTTGTGCATCCTTTGGCTATTTTGTGAAGAAGACAATTCACAACTTTGATTTGGGGATTTTTAACGAAAAATGTGATTTTTCTATCTCACAACAAAAAATGAAGGGTGTTTTGATCCAACAAAAAATTTCAAAGGCCATAGAAGGCATTTTTTCAACTGATTTTCCAAAAGAATAAAAAGAAGAAGCCGATGAGCTTGCTAATATTTCAATCATT